CTTCCTCCCAATCTGGTTTTCTACTGTTGTGAGGAGCTAGCTCCCTCTTTCTCTGGGTTGGGTTGCATTCCGCTTGCATGCTTTAGGAGAAGAGCTAAGCTTGGGACATTTTCCTTGTACTCTCACCCTCCCCTCAGCATATCGCCCTTTGAACTTTTGTGGTAGTAGTTTTACTGTTTGGTTTCTCTTCCTGAAAAGTTTGGTTTCTCTTCCTTAAAAGCTTCCAGGAGTTCATGCAGGAGTTTCTTCCTTTGAAACCCCAATTAAATGACGTTGTTTTTTACAGGATATAATTCCAATAGGAATAAAAAGATAACAGCAACAAATTTTGGAAACCAGTAAGCAGATGGATGAGTGTTGATCAATTTGGCTGACCTGAGGAGGCAGAATCCTAGCCAATAGTCGGAAAAAAAACAAAAAAACAAAACAAAAAAAACGCCCAGCAATTTTACAAAGATACCCAAAGGCTCAGGCATCCACAACACAAGTATCTATGGAAATGGGTTTAAAGGTGAGACTAGAAACACGACTCTTGATGAAAAGTCTAGTCAACAGGCAGTTAGATCTCTAGATAGCTTTGCCTGCTCTATGTAGACCAGGGGCTGCTCTTCACCACTCCCAGCAGGAGATAAGTGTTATTTTCTGGACTGAGTACTAAGAGGAGGGGGTCTCTGTCCTGGGGAACACTAGGCACAGTTAACAATAAGGATACCATAAAAACAGGGGCATTGACCCCCAGGCTTCTTCCCATAATATTGACAGCCGGGTCTCTACCCTCCAGGCAAGAGACCAGATGGTTCTTCTCTGGGGAATTTGCCCAATTCAAGAGGAAAGACCTAAAGATACTAATGTCAGAGGTTCCCTAAGGGAATGGCCCAACCTGGTCACTTTACACCGAAGCTCACATTCAATAAGCCCCATCTGTGTGTTGACAGCTTCCAATCAGAATTTTAAGGCTTTGCTCTTAAATATGAGCAGAGTATCAGGGGTCACTAGGCATTTGAGGTGAACCTCTAAAAATAAAGATGGAAACCAAAACAAATAGCAAAAAACAAATTGGAGAAACAGAGACCATTTAAGAAAAAATACTTAAAAATATAATTAAATTCTCAGAGAAAGCATCCATGAAACACGAACAAGATGCTGTTATGCTATAAAAAATATCAAGGGGATAAAAGAGGGCTTTTAGAAATTAAAAGCACTGCAGCTGAAATGGAAAACCAACAAGAGGTTTTGGAAGATAAAGTTATCTTATCTCAAAGTGGAACAAAAATAAAAACAGAAGTGAGGGAAAAGAGAAAAGATAAGACGGCAAAAACAGAAGGAATGAAAATAACCACTCAATCAGAAGATTTTACAGAATGAAACATCCAGAACAACCGGGGAAAATAACACCACATTAAGGTACCGCATCATGAGCTTTCAGACCACTTAAAACCAAAAGAAGATCCTATGGGCTTCCAGGGAGGAAAACCAAGCTACTTACAAAGGACTGGAAATCTGAAGGGCTTTGTGTTTCTCAACAGTTCTGAAATCTACACAGTAATGGATCAATTCCACCTAAAATTATGAGGCTATTGAAGTTATTTTTAGATTAGTATTCTATTTTCAATCAAATATTAATCAAGTGAGAGGGTGGCACAAAAACATTTTCTTGATCTTAAAATGTTTAATTCCCAAGCACTTTTTCTTGAAAATCTCTTGGGAGAATTGATCAAGAAAAAGGAAGACATGAGTTTTAGAAAACAGGAGGTCTCGCATGAAAGACCCCCTCAGGACAAGGGTGAGGCAGCTGTGTACCTGGCAGTCTGATCTGTGTACCAGATCAGGTTGGAGCCATCAGCATTTCTAGGAGAGATGACTTCTAGGCAAAAATCGCAGAATAGTTAATGCATCAGAATGTCTTGATTTAGACAGCTGAGTGTCTTTAAATAATTCTTGACTAGGTGGAAAGGTTGAAGTTGACTCAATGGCAAATACGTATTTGCCATTACAAAGCTAAACCAACAAAGAAAACTATCATTATTAACTCCAGGAAAAACAGAATTGTACAGAAAAGTAATCAGAGAATATTATTATAATAATGTAATCACTGGTTACTGATCTAACCAAGATTATACAACATACATATACACATGCAGATAGATTGATAGATAACTACATTGAGAAGATGTATATGTGTGTTGATGGTGGTGGAAATAGAGTTAAATTCTCATCTTTCACAGTGGAAAGTCGAAGTGTGATGATTTCATCTAAGAAATATTAAGAAGTGGCAGGGTGCACAGTGGCTCACACCTGTAATCCCAGCATTTGGGGAGGCTGAAGAGGGAGGATCGCTTGAACCCAGGAGTTCAAGACTAGCCTGGGCAAGCTGGTGAGACCCTATGTCTACAAAAAAAATAAATAAAGAAACAAATAAAAGAAATTAGCCAGGCATGGTGATGCATGCCTGTAGTCCCAGCTATTTGGGAGGCTAAATGGGAGGATCACTTGAGCCTGGTAGGTTGAGGCTGCAGTGAGCCGAGATGGCGCCACTGCCTTCCAGCCTAGGCAACAGAGGGAGACTCTGTCTCAAAAAAAAAAAAAAAAAAAAAAAAAAAAAATTAAAAAGTACTCTCAATTGATTTAACAAAAAGCCAGAAAAGTATTGGGTAAAAACAAGTATATAAATAAACTATTTAGGATTATGGAGGCAAATGTCAAGATAATGGCTAAAAAGATGTGAAAAATGGTTGCCTCTGATAAGGAGAAAATGAGAGCAACTGGGTGGGACCACTGTTATTTTTCATAATAAACCTTGTAAAGCTATCTCACTCTTTAAATGTATGTAGCCATAACACAGTTAGAAAATAAAATACATGTGACTCATACCACCAACCATTTTATCTTTGACATACTAATCTACAAATGTTGGAAGTTTATTTATTATCACTGCAAGCAATACATTGTTTTTGACAGTGTGCCCGTGTCTTTTCTAACTGTATTACTTTCCTCAATGACACTTGTTTCTGGAAGTGTTAAGAAATTTAACTTGAAATTGTGTTATAGTAACTTCTCTTGAATTTCTCTGTTGACATCCGCTCATTTTCTCTATTTGACGTTTCAGGAAATAGCTCATCTCTGGTCTGACCTTAAAGCTTTCCTTAATGAACAACTGCAATCTTTAACATGTTTCTGGGTCTACTGGAGGCATTTTTATTCCTTTTGTTTTGGCATCTATATTCATGTTATTGTTTGGTAGTGAAATAACTCCTAAGTAAGTAGAATCAAAGGATGAACTTGAAGACTGCTGATTAAAAACATGTGCATGTATTAATAACAGAAAGTAAATGTCTAGGAGGTTATCCTAAGAGTAATCAGAGATGAAGTTAAAGATTTTCATTCAAAGATGTCCATCAAAGCCTTACTTATGACTTAATAAATAAAGGATTATAATACGTCCAAATGACAGAACTGTATGTAGCTGCTAGGCAACATATTAAAGAAAATATCAATTGGTATGGAAAATATTTATAACATATTGCTAAGTAAAATACATACATCAGTAAACCAAAAGGTTTTATGTATAAACATGTAATTTTTGTAAAAAAAAAATCTATTTAAATATAAAAGAGACATATATTAGAATGCCTAAAGTAGTCTTGGCAAGATCTTAAGTAACCTTGAATCTGTTGTGTTTTTGTTTTCCAAGCTTTCCCCATGAAGCATAAATGGATTTTGTAATTAGGAGAAAAGTGCTATTTTAAAAACAAAAGCAAACAAAAAAATACACCCTGACTTATTTTTCTTGTCATTGAGAAGACTTGGCTTTGCTGGAATTAAGATTATTGGAGGAAAAAAGAGTAAAAATCCTTTCAGTCGATGCTATCTGGGTTTGGTTCTGGGTTTGGAAGGCTTAGCATACTTTGGGCCAGTTCTGTGATTTGTTCCGGCCCTGTGAGTAGACACGTTTCTTATCATCCTCTGGATTCTTCAGATTACTGCCATTTTAAAGTAGTTTATAACAGCATAGCTACTCAAACCATTCAAAGGTATCAGGTTTAATAGATTTGCTATTTGACTTAAATCAAAGGCTCTATAATTGGTGAGCAAGGTCACCTGCCAGTTCCTGGGCAATTAGAAGATCAGGCTTCCTATACGTTTTTCCCCCTACCTGCTTAGACAAGAGGCTTTTTGTTACCATACAAGTCTTTCATGCTACACGTGCAGCAGCAGTGACAAGGAATACTGAAATTTAGTAAAATGCTCATACCAGGCCACAGAGGGGAGGGTGTGGAAATGGTGTCTGTAACAACAGTTGGAGTGATGCCAGGGAAAGACAGCTTGAGGTGACAACTAGCACTTGCAGAACTGCTTTGGCGATGCCCATGGCCCGGACTAGCTGGAGAATGTGCCAGGGTGTGGCAGGGAGGCAGGAGGCCTGGAAGCTTCCCCACATCATTTACTGCAGTTGTGCACTTGAAAGAGATAACTACGATGGGGAAGATGGCAGTTGAATTATAGGGCTAAGACATCTGAGCCCTTAGAACAAAATTTCCCTTGAAACACGGGGCTATGTTTGCCCATGCTGTGCTAAGCTTCCCTACAGACAAATATGGAGTGTCTTTAAACCAGTGGAGAACAGGCTGGGTGTGGTGACTTACACCTATAATCCCAGCACTTTGGAAGGCCAAGGTGGGTGGATCACCTGAGGTCAGGAGTTCGAGACCAACCTGGTCACCATGGCGAGACCCCATCTCTACTAAAAATACAAAAACTAGCCTGGTGTGGTGGTGTGCGTCTGTAGTCCCAGCTACTCAGGAGGCTGAGGTGGGAGGACGGCTTGAGCCCAGGAGGGAGAGGTTGCAGTGAGCTGAGGTCACGCCTGCACTCCAGCCTGGGTGACAGAGCTAGAACTTATATCAAAACAAAAAACAAAACAAAAACAGTCGAGAACAGGTTCCACCTCATGGAACAGTGGCATATCTGAAAGTTCAAAACAATTCCCTGAGCAACTTTACCTCACAATCTCGTTGGAAAGGCTGCATCTGTGGGGCCCTGGAAGAGACTCAGCAGCAGACAGGGTCTCCGGAGCACACGGCACGAGGAAGAATGCACGAAGGTCCACCGCAGTCGAATCAGCCGAAGCACAAGACAAACACAAGTAAATGCTTCCATTGTGTAGCTTGCACGAGAGCAAGTGCTTTCCCAGAGTGGAAATGAGGGAGACTTCTTAAGACTGGTGAACCACTCACAGGAGAATGAAAAGTAAACACTGAGTCCTTGAGAAATTTCTGAATATCCACGAGGAAGTATTCCTGGCTGGATCCACCTGACTGCTTTAGCGTTCCCTATTAGTGTCTCTTTAGCACTTGCAGGTCTCTGTTCCTTACTTTTTACACTCTATATAAAACATGATCTACATTTTCTTCTTTTTTCTTATTTTCACCCAGGCTGGAGGGCAGTGGCATGATCTTGGCTGACTGTGGCCTCAACCTCCGGGCTCAAGTGATCCTCCCACCTCAGCCTCCTGAGTAGCTGGGACCTACAGGCGCATGCCACCACACCTGGCTATTTTATTTGTTTGTTTGTTTATTTATTTATTTATTTATTTATTTATTTATTGTAGAGATGGGGTCTCACTGTGTTGCTCAGGCTGGTCTCAAACTCCTGAGCTCAAGCAATTCTCCTGCTTTTGCCTCCCAAAGTGCTGGGATTACAGGGGTGAGCTAGCATACCCGGCCTGATCTACATTTTCTGGGAATGTTTTATCCTCTGCTATCTCGATCCCAGGTCCTTGATCTTGTGCCCAAAGTCATGGATGGACATCATGAGATTCAAGAATTCCCAGAAATTTAGTGTCACATTATGTAGGCATGTAAGTGACTCTCAGAGGAGCCCCTGACTCAAAAAATGTTGGAGAGCCACTACTCTGTCTGGGTTCTATGCTTGGTCAAAATAGAAATCTCATCTTTAATTTGCTTTGTACTAAGATTTAACATCCATTTGCTGAGAACTTACCAGGTACCATGCCTGGTGCTTTAAGATATATTCTTTCATTTAATCTCCACCCAACCTAGACAGAGTTCGTAATGTCATCTCCATTTTACTTCAGAGGCACCGTATTCACAATGGTGAAGTGACTTACCCAGGATGTCACCACCATAAATGTCAGAGCTGTGTTGAGACTGGGCCTCTCTCTCCCCTGGATGCAAGGCCTGGTCTTCCCCAGAAGTTGGGACAAAGGGCAGGCATGGCCCAGGGCGGTCAACATAGTCAGTGATAAAATTCCACTGAATGACCGGCAGCATGTGAAGGGGGTCATTGAAATATGGGCTATGGAAACCCATGAAAGGAGTCAATCTCTGTGGACTTCATGAAAACCTCTATCCCTGAAGGGCCAATCCTGCTCCCTGTCATATTCAAAGGATCCCTAATTGAATTGCAACTTTAAAAGACAGCTTATCATGTTATTCAGCCTTAAAAAAGGAAGGAAATTCTGACACATGCTATAACATGGATGAACCTTGAGGACATTGTACTAAGTGAAATAACCTGGTCACCAAAGGATAAATACCATATGATTCCACCTATCTGAGGTACTTGGAATAGTCAGACTCATAGAGACAGAAAGAAGAATGGTGGTTGCCAGGATCTGAGGGCAGAGGGAGCTGGGGAGATTATTGTTTAATGGGTGCAGAGTTTCAGTTTTGCAAAATGAAGAGTTCTGGAGATTGGTTGCACAACAACGTGTGTGTACTAAATACTATTAAACTGTACTCATGAAAATAGTTAAGATGGTAAGTTTTATATGTATTTTACCACAAATAAAAATGATTATTTAAAAAGACAGCTCATATGTTCACTTGCAGTAAAGTTCTATAGACCCATTGCTCTGTTCTTGTTGATCATTCTCCCCTCCCCAAGTAGAAGAGTGGAAGCCCAGACTGCCTGAGCAGAATGGGTGTGCCTGCGAGGCACTCCCAGACAGAGTGGCCCTGGTTCATACACAAGGGCCTGGGTGTATGCTAACAGGCTTGAGGCTCTGCCCCAGAAATTAGCTTCCCAGTTGTGCTTTTCTTCAAGCCTGCAGTCTGTCTGAGCAGAATGAGCATAATAAAGAAATAATTCTTCATAATAAATTTCTCCATTAAATTTGGTTAACCGCCCTTTCCCGACCCTGCATTTCCTTCTTAACAACGTACAAAGCCGTAGCAGTGGCTTCTCCGCAGCCAATGTGTGGGATGCTCAGGCTCTGAAGAGCATCTGCCAAGAAGACTGCCAGGTCCTAGCCCTTCCAACTCCAATAACGCTGGCTCCTGGAACCTAGGAAGTCTCTTCGGAAGTCATCCTACCCACTGGCAGGCCAGGGCCCCTGGGAAATCTCCATCCAGAGAGGAGCAAGGTCATGAAAATGAATTGCTGATTCTCCGAATTTAAAGCCCGAGGTTACAAGAGCCCCGAGTGCAGGGCCACTCTGAATGAATTCACAGCTGCACTCAGGCAGCCTGGGAGCTTGGACCCATCGCAGTGGTGGACTGGTGCTACTCCATCCCAAACAGATTTGTAACAGTGGCCCAGGCATCCAGGACTGCCAGAGCAGCATTTGTGTCCGACAAATGAGGCCTCACTCGGGACAAAGGGGGCTCTTAGTACTCATTCTGCTTTGGCTGCTTCATACCCAGCAAGAGCCAGGGGACTTCTTTTGTCAGGACAGGGAAAACAAAAACGATTCATTTTATCATGCACCATCACCACGTTCTTTGTGGTCAACCAATGCAGGGAGGCCTTGCGGCCAGCGATCCTTATAACCACTGCTTACTGAGGGCCTACTAAGGCCCAGGGACTATTCTAGGTACTGGGCACGTGCTGCCTGATTTAATCCTCCCAACAAAGCTATGCTGTAGGGATTATCCCCCTGTAGTCATGTGGAAATTGAGACGCAAAGAGGTGAAGGTCACACAGCTAGTGAACAGTGGCAGAACCAGAATTGCTACCCAGGCCCAATTCACTCTCAGCTTACTGCTTTTCCCAGTATATACCTGCTACAGATGGCAGACAGGCCAAAGGTAGACCTGTCCTCTCACCCTTCATCTCCAGGGAGGCCTGGAATGCCCCTGACTTTCAGCAAATACTTATGTCAAACGCAACAGAAACAAAAAGATATGAAGGCATAGAGATTCACATATATTTTCTTCTAAAAGCCACAGAAAATACTCCTGTAAAAAAAGAATGTTGAAAAAAAAATCAAGATAAAAAGAAATGCAGAGCCCTGGGCATGGTGGCACTTGCCTATAGTCCCAGCTACTCAGAAGGTTGAGGTAGGGGGATTGCTTGAGCCCAGGAGTTTGAGACCGTAGTGAGTTACAACTGTGCCACTGCATCCCAGCGTGGGCTATGGAGTGAGACCCTGTCTCTACAAAATAGATTCATAAATAAAAATTAGCCAGGCATAGTGGCATATCCATAGTCACAGCCACTTGGGAGGCTCAAATGGGAGGATCACCCGAGCCCAGGAGTTTGAGTCTGCAGTGAGCTATGATGGCACCACTGCATTTCAGCCCAGGCAACAGAGCAAGATCTCGTCTAAAAAATAATAATAAAATGAAAAAAAAAAAAAAGAAATCGAGATCAACTTTTCTATCAGTAAAACTATTGGTCTCTTGTCTCTCTCTTATGAGGGTCAGAAGTTCCAGCTAACACATGTTCCTACCTGGTTATATCGCTGATCATTTCCAGTTCCCGACCTTGGACGTCATGTGTACTAAATGCAATCACCTTTCACTGTCCAGATGCCCTCAATCAGCATGTGTGGCCTTAGATAGAGAAGGACCCCCAAGTAGCTGGCCTCTCTCCTTTATCATTTCATAATGGGTCCAGAAAATGAGACAACCTTTCATCTCAGTGTGTCAGCATGTTAAATGCCGAATGAGAAGCTCTCTAGCATGGTGAGTGTGAATCCGGAATTTCCCTTCCCAAGCTCGTTTTATTCTCTGTTGTGTCCATTTATGCTAGATGGGGTATACTACTCCTATATCCGTCTGCTGACTTCCACGCACTGATGTCTCCCATCTCAACAACCACTTGTGTCACATTTTCCACTGACATTTTAGGAAGAATCCAAACACTGGTTTGGGGCATCAGGTTTTGGGATGTTCCAGGTGTCAAATTCCTGCTTTTGTCTGAGAGGTGATGGGTGACTATCCTATCAGTTCTCAGTTGCAGGGGACAATTTCAGAGCAATGTTAATAACCAAAGACTGAAGGGTCAAAAGTTTGAGAAAGGAATAGAGGAAAAGAAGGAGCTAGGAAGAGAGAGTAGAGGGAGCAGAATCACCTTAGAGCTAAAGGAAAATTAATTGCCTATCCGTCAATCCATTTTCCCCCCAAATACTTATTGAGTAACTACTTGTGATGTTAATAGTGAGTGTCAATTTAATTGGATTGAAGGATGCAAAGTAGTGTTCCTGGGTGTGTCTGTGAGGGTGTTGCCAAAAGAGATTAACATTTTTTTTTGTTTTTTTTCCGGAGACGGAGTCTCGCTTTGTCACTCAGTCTGGAGTGCAGTGGTGCGACCTAGGCTCACTGTAACCTCCGCTTCCTGGGTTCAAGCAATAGGAGATTAACATTTGAGTCAGTGGACTGGGAGAGGCAGACCCACCCTCAATCTTCTTGGGCACCATTTAATCAGCTGCTAGCATGACTAGAATAAAGCAGGCGGAAGAATTTGGAAAGAGCAGACTTGCTGAATCTTTTGGCCTTCATCTTCCTCCCATGCTGGATGCTTCCTGCCTTCCAACAGCAGATTCCAAGTTTTTCAGCTTTTGGACTCTTGAACTTACATCAGTGATTTGCCAAGGGCTCTCAGGCCCTCAGCCACAGACTGAAGGCTGCCTTGTCGGCTTCCCTACTTTTGAGGTTTTGGGACTTGAACTGGCTTTCTTGCTCCTCAGCTTTCAGACAGCCTATTGTGGGACTTCACCTTGTGATCTTGTGAGTTTATTCTCCTTAATAAACTTCTCTTCATATATACATCTATCCTATTAGTTCTGTCCCTCTAGAGATTCCTGACTAATACACTACTATTTGCCAAAATGCTAGGTACTGAAGCTACAGTAGCATGTCAGTCAGGATCCCAGCAGAAAAGAGAGGGTACACTTTAAGAGAGGTAATTGAAGGGACTATTAGAAAAGTTGTAGGCAGAGCAAT